TAGTTCTTGATTACTTTTTGATAAATAATTTGTTCTTATTGCGAAATAGGAGCACTATTTATCAATCTGTAATAAAAGACGTGAGGAAATTCTGTCTTTGAGGTGAAATACCCAAAAAGAAGTTTGTAAAAAATGAATCCGCCTCAACAATATAGAACTTATCTACAATATTAGTTTTGCCGCAAACAGGGTATTCCACATTTTAAGCACTATTCCACATCTGGCTGCTTTACTCTATACCAAAATTTAATGTTTTCCGTCCAGTTTTCTCAAAAAGTCTTTATTTCAATAAGTTTTAGACTTGCGTGTTTTTTTAACAACACGAGTGAGGAAATTTGTGTGTTTGGAAAAATGTGAGTGTGAGTGTTTTGACCCAGGAAGCAAAATTTGAATAACAAACATTGATATGGTGATTCAGACAAATATAACACAAAATGTGAAGGACTTTCTCTAACGAATGATTTTCTCTAAACACGCTGAAAGCAGTAACTTTATTAAAAGGACAGTTCAACTGTGAAGCTCTCTGACAAAGTCTCTCATGTTCAATCATCAAGAATCAAAAACTCATCTCACATTCACATGTTGCTGTGTGGTCACTAATCAGCCCGTTGCGTGAAGAATCACTAAAGCCATTTTGATTTCATCTTCAGCCCACCAACCTGTATTAGTTTAAATTCTCGCATGGTCACATACCTTCATTTTAATTTCCTGTAGGCCTTTCCTATTATTTCCCGAACGGGACGGGCAAATTCGATTGAATTCGGCCCTTTATTTCCGAGCGCCGCCGACGCCGACGCCGCCGCCGGTCACTACAAATCTATTAATTCTGCATAACGCTGTATTGAGGCAGATTAGTCAGGAAATAAGCAGAACAAATTGATCGCGAATTTAATCCAGATCCAATGTGAACGATGGTGTTTTGCCGATGGATAAATTGCGTCTTGTTATTGCAAATCGAATTTGTCAGAGACGGAATTAGTGCAATGTTTGTTATTAGTCAATGGGAATTTAGACCGCAAACCCTCAGTTAATTTCATCGCTATTTGCCCATTTTTTCCCCATTGGTCTTCAGATTATTTGATGAAAATTTCTGCGTGTCTTTATCAACAAGAACACTTTTCATTTATCCCATTTCCTATATGTTTTCTAGTGGTGTTTGTGAGATGTTCTGCCCATAGACAAATACGTTTCTATCAAGAGGCCACTTTTCGAGTGTCTCTTCTTATTCATGATCAATAACTGGAAAGGAACCAGCAAAAGCAAGCAAAGTTAACCGAAAGCGGCAACCTCGGATAATTAAAACAGATACCTCCACTGCATAGAACTAAGCGGGATTATGCAACAAAACGGCAAATAAAATCAGTTTACTGCACAAATTACAAGTTTATTGTTGGCAATGGAAGGCGATCGCTCGGGGCAAATGCTCTAAGCTATCGCTAAAGAGGCGAGAGTAGAGCAACGGCTACAGTAGGAAAAATCGTCAAATTTAAGCAAAAATACTCTTATAATTATTAATTTGTTTATTGACCTTAAGAAGATTGTTCATCCAATTTCACTGGAAAAAATTTAAATTGATTAAATGAGAATTTTGAGTGCTTGAGTTGAAATTTATTAGCCAGACCGACCTAATAAGGATTTTGCATGAAATTGCTCTCATTTCTGGAGAAAGGTACTCCAGTGGACGCGACGTTTTAGTCCATTTAAGTAGCTGGCGAAGCAAAAAATAAAAATCTTCTGGCCTTCTAAAGGGTGACAAGTAACGAACGAGTTTGTTAAGAGATGGAGAGTTGGAGAAAATAAGAAAGTAATTATTCACTTATGCAGACAGTCTGGAAATAGCGGTTGGCGGTTGTACGATCGAGGCCTATTCGGAAACTTTATCAAAGCTCAGGAAGTAATTCTAGTGTTAAGTTTCAGACGCGAAGTTGTTTTCTCTTTTGGAAATTTGCGAGTTACCAGGTACGTAGGCAAAAGCCCCGAGTGCAGGTAAATTTAGGGCAAAACTTTAAGGCGAAACAATTGTAATCATTTCTGTAACCGCGAGATTCGATTCATTAGCTCCGAAGCCTGGGAAAAAAACCCGCCGGAATATATTCCTGTGGCCTTATTATTGCTGACAGAAATCGCGACTGATATACATCATCGGATCAACCGTTCTGATGTTATATCCTTCAGTAAATATAAGGACAAGGCGGTGGCACAAGGTGCCATAATTTAGGATTAGAGTCAGCCCTCTGGGTAATTTATATAAGGAAAATTTTAATATCGAACAGATGTGTCGCTCCACAGCGTGAAAACTCCTTGCGTGGCAGCCCTGACACAGATGCCTAGAACTTTTTGCGATTTTTCACAGCCAAACTAAGCGATAAGCCCTTATTACGCCAATTAGAGGCTGGGTATTTGGGGTGCGACAAACAACCTGTGAAATATTTACGGATTTTGCGGAAACTTATTAAAAACGGGCCCCGTAAAGTTAAATAAGCCAAAATTAAGAAAGCCGTCTCGAAGTCATAAACACGTTATCTGGGTGGAGCCGGCCCCGTTTTTTACCAAGGGCGATTTTCACCCGAAAGGTTTTACTTAGGTTACTTTACGTAACCAAAAAGTATCATTTGTGCTTTGATTTAAAACTTGGAAACCAATTTTTTTTAGTTTATACAGAGTGATACAAAATTGTAACAGTTGAAAATCGAATTTCAATGTTGTTATTAAGCATTATTTTGAATGTATTCCATATTTAATTGGTAGCATATTGGAGTACAGCGTTCAAACAGAAAAATTACGATCTTTGCTTCAAATTACGAACATTTTTCATATTAAAAAAGTTCTCTTCTACAATTTTTTGATGAAAAGTCAAAGCGGCAATGATGTTTTTGGTCATCAACAGATAGTTACAGGTGGATAGCCCTTGTCAATAATAACAATAATTTGTCAAACTCTGACTTACTTTGAATTTCCTTTCACGAATTCGTGGATATACGATTAGTTCAGGGGAAATGCTACAATAACATAGCAGAAGCTGGAAGAACTCCTGCCAAGAAACGTTGGAAGATTGGCTCCAGGAAGATAGTGGACGACAATTGATGTTCGGGTTCCAGACCCAGAGGAACAAGTATTGAACATAACTGCAGAAGAGCCTTTCAGGGGTACTCAGATCATTGCACAACTGACACTTTCCCATGCACCAAATAAATACCGGCTACATTTCTACCACGCATGTAAGAATGTAAGATCACATTAAACCAATGGATTACTGAACACCGGTACAAATTGAGAAGGAGTTAGTTAATCGAATACGAGAAGCTGCACAGGCACTTGTTTGGAGTTACAGACTCGTATGTATGTTTTTGTCATTTGTAAACAAATTAATAATTAGAGGTTATGAGTTTCGAAATAGGTTCCGTCGTTCAACGATTCCTGTTGAATTTATCGTTTATCTTTGTCTATCTTATTGTCACTTTCTGTATAATTCAATGGTTACCGGATTTTTAAATAATTACGAAGCAACAACTATTTACGTAATGTTAATTAGGCAGATTACCTTGAAAAGTATTGTTGCCGTTTTTCTAATATAGTTTTTTGCAAGTTTATCAGTTTTTAATAACAATTAATATTTTTTCTGTACTCCTTAAACACCGCCAGACAACACCTACAGAGGAATGACGCCAATTTTGAAACGCCCTGTATGTCCACGCCTTCATATACAGGGTGTATTTAGATGTATTAACCGGGATGGTTATACGGGTCACGGGATGTTCGATTAAGCGAAAACGACCCTTTGATATAACCTAAAAAGGCTTAAATAGTTTGCTTATTTTTCCAGTAGTAAGGAAGTTGAGAAAGCTGCGTACGGTGCCTAATGCTTCCTGAATATACTCTGATTTTGATGAGTTATTTAATTAAATTTCCAAAGGAAAGCCTAACTCATAAATGCCTTGTTAATCTCAAAGAAAACCTTGAAATTTTTTATTTGATTAATAAAGGCGATTTATTGAATATATCAGCAGTCGCAGCATTCATACATGATATACAACAACTAACAGAACAAAAATTACTCAAAGGACGTTTTTGTATCACCAGATGTTGCAACAATCTCGGAAGACACTTAAAACACTCGCTTCACACCGACCTGAGACACCTATCTGCTTTGCTTTAAAAATTAGTTAAAGTCAAGAGGATCTATCAATGAATAAACACCAAGAAAATTCAAAATATAATTCAGAAACGTTAACAAACTATGAAAACATTCAAGACAGTTGTTGACCGAAAAATGGGATGAAAGAGAATTGAAACAAACTGATTCTTCTTGGTTTAAGGCTCTGTAATATGTTGGTGTATTCTGAGGCCAAATTTTGCTTGTAATCGATGAATCAAAAGTATTTAACAAATTTAAATATTTTCTAACTGGGTGAATCCTAAAAGATACTAAATTACCACACAATCATTGTCAGGAATAACTAGAACCAAACTTGCGATCGTTTCAATATTCGACTCAGATTTTTGTCCACATGCAACATTGGGGACTCAATTTGCTCGAAACTTTCCATTTTTGCAACTCACCAAAAATTATCCAGCATATTCAATTAGTTATTGAATAATGCACACAGTGTAAACCCCAACATGGAATAAGCAAGTAAAATCTCTCCTAAGGTAGCGCCCGAGCGAGATGATTCCAAGTTAGCTAACTTTATTAGCAATAAACTAATTACGAAGATTATACAGCCTATCAAAGGAAAAGCAGACGGATTAACAGTCGGGCTGTAAAACTTTAAAATATCATTATTTTTGGCTGTTGATTTTAACAACTTTCGCAGCCATTTCATGTTGAGGGCTTTGGCTGATTGAGGCCAACGTCATTCAGTATTTAAACGTGAAGCTTAAAATATTTTATACAGGATGTCGTCAAAAATGTACATTTTACACCTGTGCTTCCTGAACAATGTTTTTCAAGTTACTGTAACGGCAGAGCGGAACCTGTGGGTTGGCCTCCTTGTTCTCCCGACTTAAACCCATTTGAATTTTTAACTGTGGCGACATCAGAAACCTTTGATTTACGCCACTCGGGTTTAATAGAGTTGCGAAAGAAAGGCTGAAAAGTAGGTACAATAAAGGCTTCTCTGGTCGCTTTTCACTTAATAGCTTCACTATTGGTTTATATTCCATAATTAAATAGTTTTGTCGCAATATTCGGTGTCGTAGAATCCGAATAACCCTGCAAATTTGACTTGTTTTTCATGTGTTCCGTTTCGCTTGTTCTGCCAATTTTCAAGTTTCGTCACTGCGCTTTGCTAATATTTGCACTTCCAGGTCTTAGACACTGACTAGCTAAAGTGCTTTAAAGCTATTTAATAAAAACCGATATTTAGAGGCAGGGACCCGGACCGGAACCGATATGGACCCAAAACCGAAACGGAACCGTTTTTTTTTGGACCGGCACCGTAACGGAACCCATATTTGATATTAACACACTGTTAGGTGCAGAACCGGAACCAAAATATTTTATTTCGGTTTTTTCGGTGGTTTTTCGGATCTGCTTGTACCGTTTGAAAGAAATTACTGCATATTTTACAAGCAAATGAAAATAATCATTTATCCTCCTGCAAATGAGTATAAAATTACGTTTCTGTGTTCTGGTGAGCGGCGGTGTACTATTGAGTATTAGTATATATTGAGTAAGTAAGTATTAGTATATATTAATATTAGTATTAGTATATATTGAGGTACTATGTACCGACAAGGGGTCGGCACTTCTTTTATTTAGTTCCTGGAATCGTTTTAATAATCGGCGCCGCGACGCCGTCAAAGGGAGGATAACTTGAGTACCTAATATCCTACCGATTAATTGCCTCCTCACAGCACAGTGCGCCTGCGCAATTTGGAAATGAAAAAGTTGGCATCCTCAACATTTACAAAACAAAAATAACTCTACACGGTTACAATCTATGCGCTTACTGATGCCTACAATTATGGGTCGAAAAATAACAAATGTTGCTCACGAGCAGTTTGAATTCATTAACATAGAAGATAAATCTGTTTGCAAATTGCGTAAAATGTCAATAAAGGTAGCTAATTAAGTTTTGTAAAGTTTCTTGATATAAGATATTTTTTGAGGAGGGTACGTAATTGTGTAAAATGTCATCATCTACCATTAAAAAATCATATAGATAAATACTCTAGGCAGCCGGAATTAGAACATTTTAATACATTGCTAAGGGCAAAATTAACATATATTACAAGGCTATATTACCAAATTTCCCCGTATCTGCCTGGCAATATTTCATTCGTTAAACATTTTTTTTATTTTTTCTAATTTTGAGTAAAAATAGTGAATTATGTATGTTTTATTAACTGTTAATTTGTAAAACTGTAGCAACCGGTATCTTTTCATCACCAGTTCGCACGATTTTATTTTTCGCAATTGGTTAAGAAAAGTAGAACGTTTCGTCATTGTTATCAGTTTTGAAATGTGTCAAAAGTGTTGACTTTATCAATCAAAATTGGAAAAAATATTTTTTATTACTACTAACCTGAGTCACTATTATTTACTTTACTCATAAATACTCACTTTATATGTCAAAACAATAAACTTAATTAATTAAAATTAGAAAAAAAAACTGTGCGCGTCTCGTAAAATCACTATATTAACGCCCAAAAATACGAACGTTGTATAATACATAATCTTGTATAATACAACAAGCAAGGAAAAAGATAGTGAGATTCCTAATTAGAGTATCTTTGTCCTCGTTCGTTGTTACACATAGATTTTGGAACCAAAATGAACCAAAAAAAAACCGGAACCGGAACGGAACCGAGTTGGAAATTATTTTCTAAACCGGAACCGTAACGGAACCGAAATTTTCAATTTTGCCTTGGACCGAAACCGGAACGGAACAGTTATTTCGTATCGGTCGGGGTCCGTGTTTAGAGGCCTTAAGTATGTGCGTAGAGGGCGACAGTACATTTAAAGAAGTCCGCTTTTCCAGACACCTTATACATTATAAAGATTTTAATGGTAACCTGAGAAAATGTTTTAATTAACCTGCAAAAATTCTTACCTTCGGTGACTAGTAGTGATCATAGTAATTGAACACTTGTCTGCACATGCCTCTTAGAGGAATCTCGCCCTCTCCACACTTGTTCACAAATTGATAGCCCATTTTGGTGAAATTGCGAGGCAAATTGTTGGGTGCACCCTGTATTTGCAGCGCAATAAAAACAGCAATTAGAAAAATTACTTTTACTAGCTTTCCCATGGTCAGCAGAGGTCTCCACCACAATCGCGGTTAAAAATATTGAATCGCTTTTATCATGTACTACGACAGAGCTAATAATGATTTGTTTGTGTTACAGCACTAACGATAAGAAGCGATTTGTGTGTGAATATTAAATACGCCACAATAATTGGTCATGCTTTATTATAGACTGGCTGGAATCCAGGCGGGTTTGAATGAACTCACACCAACTTGCTACTGCGAAATTTTGCTCAACTTGGGATGATTTATGAATATTATTGACCTTTCTTCCCGTAGAGGCAGTGATTGAGCTTTTCTTAATCAGTGTTAAATTATTAAATAAACTCTGGCCACATGGTGTGAGTGGCTTGACATCGTCAATCACATGCATCTACTTAATCTTGTTAAGATTTGACGAGGCTTAATAAAAATGCTGTTGTGGAAATTCCCGACCATTTAATTCCAATTAAACCCGGTCGAGCATGAGCAATGTGTTTCGGTGAATTTATGAATGAACGAATTACTAAATATTAATCTGGCTGTCTCTGGATGTGGTCTGGATATTCAATGTCAGACGGCTGTGCAGTTAAAAAATTGATAAAAAAATCGGTCGTTTTATTTTGCATTACCTTATTTACAAACACCTTGTATAAAACTATCTTAAGTAACATAATTCACTTAGTGGCATGTGAACAGCGACTGATTCATAAGCTCTTAGACTACAATAAATAATAATTTAATTAATATGTACAGCTCGGAAGATCCTCGCTCGGCCAGGACATCCTTTGGGTCGAATTTCTAAAAAGTAAAAACCTGGTCAAAACCAAACAAACAAACAAAGCAAATAGCTGAACGATGACAAATGAACTAAAAATACCGTCTGACCCTTTTGCTGAATGAAATCCGAGTCGAATACATTTTCATAATTAGCGTATTTGATTCATTAATTTTATCGGGAGGTTCAGAGGTTGCACATCCTCTTTCGTAATTTCGGCCAAATGTTGGAAATTTCCTTTCAAATTTTTTTATCGGTCAAAGCATTCAAGTGATCTTATAGTTTCAGGCGAATCTGGGTCACTTCTAATCACTTGGGCAAAAAAACTCCTAATTTGATCCAAATCGCATGCAAACGTTGAAGCGAATTTCAGTTCTGACTTTAAACACTGATTTTGTTTATTAAATTTGGCTTTTTGCAATCGGTTGTTTCTAACGCACGAATTCTCTCAAAATGATATCGATTGGACGTTTCATAGTGCAAGCACAAGTTTTTCGTCGTGTCAATTAAGAAACTATTTTCAAATTGGAAATTTGATTGTAACCAGCGTTTTTGCGCGACTTTTCAGGTGTAAATTGATCTAATTATAATGAGCCAAAGTTGCTAAAAACTACATTCCACAAAAGAAATTTCCCTAAGTGCAAGATAAACTCATTACATTTCAGTGGCAATAGTTTTGGATTCCAATTTTTACCATTTAAAACATTTTTTAGACTAATTTGCCCAATTCGAGAAAATTTCACATGTGTGCAACATATGAGAAGATTGCGCTTAAAATCTAGCATTAAAAAATACTATCTTGCGCGAAAATAAGAGAATAAAAAATATTTAGTAGCTTGCTTTCCGTTAATAAATACACTTGCTTAAAATCCTCATCATTTCGGAGAGATAAGAATTAAAAACATATTTTTATTATTTATTTTATCGTTATTTTTTGTTGGCAGCTTTAAATATTTTCTGCTAATTTTGTCCTTCACTTTTTTGAGATTAATATTTTCAGTTGCCTCATATACGCATATTGCGGTTGCTAGTAAATAAAATAGTCAATTGTGACTATAAATCTAGGATTTCTAATACAGAAGCCAAATCTATTTCAACCCTCTTGAAAATTGCTCTAAAAATTGCACCCCCCGAAAGAAATCGAACTTTTTCCTTGCAATTCGATCCAAAGCACCACTTTTCCTAACTTAAATAGAAAGTAGGTAAACCTTAAGAAGCCGAGGAAAGTAAAATATTGAAATTTTCAGGCTGAATTACATTGCATTTATAGAGTATTTACATTTGCAAGCATTTTTTGAAATTAATCGAATAGAAGAACGATTAATATTCACAGTTTTCCAAATTAATTGAAAAAGAAAAAAACAAAAACACTTGTATTGATAAAACCATTTCTAAATACCTAACGTTAAAGCAAGATGGTTAAACATTTCTTAAAATATTGTTGGAATTAGTATAAAATATAGAAATCATTGTTGGATTTTCTAGCTAAATTATAGTTAGAGAATTGAAGCGAAAATATATGTAACTCATCAAAAATGCAAATTTCAAATCGAAAACTACTTTATTCACAATTTTCCTCCAAAACTAATGTGTTTAGAGACAATAAATATGGTTCTTAGATCAACGAAGTAGCGTGTTTTGAGACATTAAGAAGGAAGTGTCTATCTAGACGGAGTTAAATCATATTTTCGATTTGCTGCATTTGACTTAAAACAAATAAACTGTTTAAAGCTGAAAATGACCGTTCTAAACGAAATGAAAGAAATACGTTCCGGTTAATTTCAGATTGAACTGCAATAATGGACTAATTTCAAAGAGTGAGTCTGGATAATTTTTCATTTTCCAATTCGAGTACTGAAGCCAAAAAGAATTGGCTAAACTTGCGTCTTTTTGCGTTGACCTTTTCTTATCACTTTTTTCTTCTCCGGGCTGATTAGCCGTAAAAATCTGCAGCTGAGTGCTGTTAGGGACAATTATCGAACCGTATGCAATCCGAATAAGTTAGGCATTAATAAGTCAGAGATAAATTATTTCAGGCTTCAATTAGAGGAAATATCTAACAAGAAGAAACTAAAGTTGGTTCTACTTGAAACTGAAAAAAAATAAAAATTCAATAGCTTGTTGCTTAAAACCCAGGCGATAGTCGTAAAATCCTTAACTTTTCCCTGACTCGATTGCCATTAAATAAAACCGATTTCCTCATTCACGAACGTGGCTAGCATCGGTTGTCGTATTCGCACACATACGAGTCTATGTGAGATGCACGATGGCCTGCGTGTTGCCACGTTCCAACTTGACACCTTCACAGCTTAAAATATAGATCCGTTTTGGTAGTGACAAATACTTTTACTTCTGGTCTTCGTTTTGACCAACAAATTAGCGAGACAACTATGCGATATCCATCGATCCTTAATTAAAAACAAAACTTTTGAACATATTTATAAGCGTTAAAAATTTACGTTAAGTTTTGATGGTTTTTTTTTTCTAAGATAGTCGGTGCTGGAAATGTTGGTATGGAAAAAAGCATTGCTTTGGACTGAAAGAGATTTGCGCCATTAGTGAGGGTTTTTTGGGTATATTTTTAATTCAGGTTTTGTGTCAATTTTCACACACATTTTCTCCTAAACTCCCAACTTTAGCAGTTTGTTGTGCTGAATACGAAATTAAACTTTCGGCAAAACACCAAATTAATGGTTAACATTGCATACATTTTCAAGAGGGTTTCTTATTTAAAAGCTTTTGTTGTAATGTCGAAACTATTTCTTAATTTCATAGATAGATGAATCATCACGCAGCATCTTAGGCTTTCAGCTACCGGAAAGCATTTTATAGTTCTGACCAGTTTGATTTGGATATTTGCTGCGTCTTCCAAATCGAAAACGGGATTTTTTTTCTGCTCCGGAGAATTATTCCGGCTCACGACCGAATGGAAATAACGGTGATCAACTATGCAAAATCCTGCTCGAAGGACCAAAACCGCGATTTTCTGACCGATTGTCTAAATATGCAAACAACGAATTTTTCAAAATATATTGGCTATTGTTTGGTCATCATATTGCTTATACAGGGTGTTTTTGCTTTTGACGTCTTCAGTTTTTCAAGAGGAATGTCTTTAAAATATTGGTCGTTTTGTTATAGTTGTACGTAAAACTGTTGCGGTATGAGTTTCTTAGTTTTAATTGCTGGTATTTGCAGAATAAAACCAATTATCTGTTTTGCTTAAGAATTTGCATTTTGTGTACTTTTGCTTGTGATAATTCGCTAAACAAATCCGCGTATAAG